TCACGTTTCGTTGTATTGTTTTGAATAACAGCTTCATTACTTATCGATCTTAAGATCGGTAAGTATATTGAGAGGTATTTGTCTGTATGTATGTATGTCTGTCTGTGTGTCTGTTAGATGCACGCGATATCTCACGAAAGCGAGATTGAATCTGCTCCGGATTTTGCATGTGCATTCATCTTATCTCGGACCAGAAGCCTATTGATTTTGGGCGAATTATATCGTATAATCAGCGAGTTATCAATCAATTATTGATATAGTGATCTAGATCAGGGGTTCTCAAACTTTTGGTGTTGCGGAGCCCGTGAAGAGGTTGACCATTATTCACGGAGCCCTAAAACAAATTTTAAAATTGTTACTTTCCGATTAATATTATTGAGTATGTTAAAAGTACTTTACTTGATTTAAATGCTAATCCTTTTTTAATAGGGTTAATACAAGTCATAAATAAATCTAAATTTCAATGATAAATCATATATATTAAAGCTGTAAATTTGACATTCGACAAACATATTAATAAACTAGAGGTAGAATCTTTTTCCTTTTGATATTTTTGGAAGACTTAAAAGGTTGCTGCGCGATTGTATTTTGGTCCATTGGCGACTGTTTTCGAGGGCGTGAAACGTTATACCTTAAACACTTTCCGTCGGTGTTTATTCTCCCTAAATCAATAATTTCCTCCGGCATATATGTGTATTTTTCCACAATGACAACGATAATTGCTTTTTTGTTCTCGTGGGGAATTATGAATTCGATGTGAAGAACATGTTAATTTAATATAGTCCTCGGCGACGAGATGCTAAAATTAATTAATAAAGAATCGGCGGTGAATCCGCAACTCAAATTTTTTGATTGAAAAGCGGCATTATGTAATATTAAAACTAAAACTTAAAACGGAAGATAACACTATAAGTTTTGTTTCAGCAGACTCACGACACGACACGACAGACACTTTTTTAGACATTGCAAATGACAATATATATTTGAAGATATGTTAGGTTTTCTTTGATTATTCATCATAGCAACTGAAATAGAAACACAGTCACAATTGTGCGCGCTTTGTACCTTTTATTCATTCTGAAACTACCAACGGAGCCGCATGCGATAACATAAATTTCAATCGTTCGTATTTTGCCCAGACCTTGTTATTTTTTGGACGATGATATCTTGCAAAGAATCTGAGTGGCAGACCTGCGATAGGGTGGAGTCAGTGTTGCAAGAAAGGCTCAAAGTTGTCGAATTCGCTAAATTGCTATAATCCACCAATAAGTCATGATTACAAGTATGATTTTGATCGGGACGGACACAAATATCTTATCAAACTTCTGGCACCGGTAGTAGGTATGTATGTTATTTTGTGGGCAATATGACTTCGTTTCTAATATCTTATGATATCAGCGTTGTTCAGGATATACAGTAGTCCACAAGAACTTCGTTCACTTAACTTTGTTTCATTGTTTCTCATTTTATGTCCGCGGATTGCCGTGGTTATTTGAAAAGTAATGATTTTCTATTGTGAGTGACACAACCGCAGGTTACGTTTAACAGAATTATCCCAATAAACAAGTCATTTCAAATATGCCCGCAATGGTCATAGATTGCACAATTGTATATTGTACTTATTGAGTTTTACCGTCGACCTCGGAATTTTTGTAACGGCGATATCTTGCTTAAAAATAATCTCGAGTGCGAAGAAACAAAAGTTTGACAAATCCCAAGATCGCAAAAATACCATTTCAATTTATTTATAGTTGGCAGTTTATCACGTATTTTATGGTATTTTAGAATAGTAATCTCTTATTTAAGTAATTCTCATAGTCATCTTGAATCAAACGTGAGTAACGACGAGCACAATTAAAATATTATGACAAGACATTTTAAATGCTCGAATCAGTCATGGATTGAATATTTTACGTAACAGAAATCTCGTTATTCATTAAAAAAGTTTTTTTACTTAATCGCGAATAATGTTGCGCGGAAATTTCCGATTCCAATTTTGATCCCCCTCCCTCTTAAGAATCCTGGCTGCGCTCCTGCTTATAAATAATGTCATTTTTTAATTCCGCCTCTTTGCCATATTTCGAGGCTATATGTTGTCAAATTTTATTAAAGCTGTTGTTGCTTACTTGGACAGTTACAAAATTAGCCAAGTCAGTCTTTTAAAAAATAATCAAATGGCTCGCGGAGCCGCTAGGCTTCTCTCTCGGAGCCCTGGGGCTCCGTACGGAGCACTTTGAGAACCTATGATCTTGATTTTTGTAAAGCGAGAGAATTTTGAAACCCGCCGAGTGTGTGTGTGCGATGCGCAGTGCGCAAGTTACAAGAGCGGATGAATCGAAACTGCATTTTCTGTTTTGGGGGATCCCCTAACTATCGATCGATAAGTCTTCGGTTTCCAACCGATATTCTCGTTTTACGTATTTTTGGGAAAATACATAAGTGGAAAAATGGGGTCCCCGCAGCGATGTCGCCCATGGCTTTCGTAACATGCCCGTTTGAAAATCGATTTCTGCCTTGATATGAAGAACATGTGTGCATCAAGTTACATTCGCTAGCGTCGTAAAAAACACGAAGCTGTCACGAAGGTGGTTTTATTTTGGGTTGGGTCATTGACTGACTCATTGGGTCAGTCACACTACGTCTGCTTTTGTAGATTACATCTCGAAAAAACAATTTACAATAACTGCCGTCCGTTGATCTACTTGCGTTGGTGCGTCTGTTGCGTATTATGTCACGTTAGCGTTTCATTCACGACAGATGAACCGCCACCATCAGTACTGCCACTACGCCAAAACAACGTCCTAACCGTATAGTAAAGATGACTCACAATGGGCAAATAACACTAGTGCAGCGTATCCATGCAAGGGATGATGCAACAAACCATGGCGTATTGAAAATACGGTTGCCGGATATGTTAATAATACTGGCGCTCCTCGTTTTTTTTTTGCACAGTTCATAAAAGTTATGATTTTACGCCAAGCATACAATAAATCTCCTGAATGCGTCGCGGGCCGCACGGAATTTGCGCCGCAGGTTCGTCACCTCTGGTCTAGAATCTCTAGATAACAAAAAATGGTGATTCAAATTTCCATTTGTATATTTTTTTTATTTTCTTAATAAGATGGATATTTTGTTGCAACCCAAAAAATAATTTCAAAAAATAAATTTTCGATTTGAACACCAATGATAGGTTGTCATCAGCATAAATGCGGCCAAACTGAATACGTTTGAGATTAGTCAATAATCGACGCTACTGAACTTTACAAAGCTAGGAAATAGTTGCTTTCAGGTAATTTCATATCATCGTGATATAAAACAAAGAATAAAAATCTAATAATATGAACACGGAAGTCGCGCAAAGGTACCCATAGAATAAAGCCTTAGCTGTATGTCTGGCTGAAAAACGAGTTTGCTACAAAGATTGGCGGACAATCTTGATTAGGCGGACTAGTCTAAAAGAATAAAGCGTTTGCATATTTCATAAAAATTTGTTCCCGCGTTTTAAAATGAATCAACTTAATATTGACTTTGCACGTCTCATGGGTACTGTTGAAATATGTGTACAAGGTTAGGGTTAGGCCATAAATTTATACCGATTTCCCTTATTTTAGTTCTATTCCTATTTTACGGAGTTCGGTGACTGTGTGTGTAAGCCTATTGAATTTACCGCCTGCCCGTGGGTTTCAGTCCCTTTACTCAACTAGATGTAGATTAGGCAAACAAAATTAATTATTTCCATAATGGTACACATACTTCTGTAACGCCGTCACATGACACATTCATGACAGTTTTTCATTCAGGCTAGATACATTTGAACCCATTATTAAAAGAACAAATCCATTCATATACACTGTATACTTGATTGGCGATGTACATATTGTGTAGCTGCTCTTTTATAAAAAGGAAGCTCAATATACCCGCTAATGAGTAGGCCATTCAAATGGCGATTGGGTGTAACCTAACCCAATCACACCTAATCGTGCCTATTAATTTGAAACAAGTACACGTAGATTTATTGATTGTGTAATACAAAAATTAGTACACTTTTCAAAACAAAAATCAGATACAAACATCATTTTTCTGGAATAAAACAAGGACGAAAAAGACAAATACATAATGAACAAGTTTTTTTAAACCATAGAGACTAAAATGGCAAGAATAGTAATATTTATTCCAAATTGCTAGGGCAGTTTGAAAAATACACCAATGAAACATATCAAATGCAGTTTGCATGCATTAATTACTTTGTATAAACTACAAATACTTATTGAACAAAATTGTTTAAACTATAACAACTAATAAAGTGTATATAAATAATATAGGTACGGCAAGTCAGTGGGGTATTTTGTCTTTTCAGCCTGCATGCAACAAATGAAAAACGCCACAAATAAAATAATATATAACATGTTAAGTATAATATATAACATCTTGAAAACATTTAAATACAATACGCAAAAGACAACTATCAAATTATTGAGCATTTTTAATATCAGTTTCCCCCCATCATAAATGATACAATATTTAATAAAAAGTAATTAAATCATGTTGGTAATTTGTAAATGTCTGATAATTTTTTATGAAGCACGCTTGCAGATGGCGCCGGTGTTGTAAAACTTTTATAAAATATTGCTTTCTCCGAAGTGCAATTTGAATCTCGACATTATAGTTTTGTTACAATTACTTCAGCTCGTATATTACTAATTGTGTGTTTCCTTTATTATAGATACGCTCTAGCAGTTCATTCTGCAGTTATATTAGAAGGTTGGAACAAAGTGGTTGAAGAATGTACAAATGAATAAATTTACCTCAATAAAAATTAGCGCTTGAACTCGAAAAATATATATTTTTAATATACATCGATTAATAAATTTTCAGCACGAATTGGCTGAATAAATTGAACGATTGACGAATTGATTGAAAAGTTCTGTCAGGACAGAATTACAAAACATTTCGTAATGATATATATATACTATATATACTATCTAGAACGGTAGGTTTTTTTGCAGGTTTAGAATACATGACTTTCAACTTGTTAAACTTTTTTTACAATAACTAATAGAAGGCAAAATTAATTTAGAGTGGCATGGTTTGTTATGGACAACAAAAAACTGACATAAAACCACATAGCATGCAATATCTTTAATGTAACCTAGTCTCAAATATAGTATGAAGTTTTTCATCTTAATTTATTGGCGTGCATTTGCGACTGCTGTGTACAACGCATAAAAATATAATCATACCTGATTCATGAATTCTTCACATCTTTATATTAGAGTTGGAGCATTTAATTGTTTTCAACGAATACATTGGTGATAACTCTTCTCTATATTTAGATCAATAAACTGTGCTAATTTTGTTTTTTAATTGGATGTAATTGTGTAAAATGTTCATGTTCATTCAGTTGTTACATTAAGATTACTTCGAGGGAATGCCAAGGTAATTTAAAACGTGATAATAAAATAAAAATTAAAATAAATGTAACTTAGCGTATGATAGTAAATACATACCGGTTTATATTGATTAGTCAACAATAAGAGATTATACTATAAGAACAGAAAAGTAAATTGTCAGTTTTTAATGATAACAAAGTTATCATGTGCAATTTCTCCGGAACCAATATTCATAAACAAACATAGCAAATTTTAATTTTTTCCTTATTGGCATTTTTAAAATGTCATATGTTTGCGTACAAGTTTTCTTCTTCCGTTGATGTTGAAGGTTTGTTGTCGACATTGAAGTTGGCATAAAGATTGAATGAAGACAGATAAGCCGACACGGCGTCAAAACAGAATTTATATTGGTCCTGAAATATGAAAATACATAAATTAATAAATAGGTATTTTAGTCTAAATGCAATTGAACACCTATTTATTGTCATATATACAAGAAAGCAAGTTGTATCCCATTGTATTAGTTATTATTTGACTTGTTTTTGGTATTTGCTTCTAAGCTAAAATGCAGTTCGCATTTTCATCAGAATTTCTTTGTTTAATTACTTTGTTTCATCTGTCACTGTACCGGGGTGATAACACCTTCCTCTGAATATTTAAAGAACATTTACATACAAATGTTAAAAAACAAAAAACAAGCTTGAGGAAGGTAACGATGTTTTTGTTACCTAGCTGAATCATGTTTCACTATATATGTTATTTAATTCTAATCGATTAGTAATACTCTGTGTATTTTACCAATGTCTGCACCATCCCTGGTCTGCAATCCCTCAGATCTTTGACAGTTCTGAAGACGTCGATATTGCTCTCGCATTTCAATCTCTCAATTAGATTAATAATTGCACAATAACTTCCTGTCCTTCCTGCCCCGTCACTAAACAAACCGTGTAAATTATATACTACTGCGGACCAATTAATGGAATTTGCTTCAAAAATTTCAGGCTAATTCGAATAATATTTGGTTTACTTGAATATTACCAACTTTTTGTTAACTGATCCATATTTGCATTTCATAATTTAACTCAAACAAATGCTTGCAAAAAGCGATATTTCACTCCAAATTTTTCTGTGTCCCGTACTCATGGGAATCTTATACCGCATCTGTTACACATTTTTGTATAAGATATTTACAGATAATGTTTCATTCAACTACCGGGATATTTTGTACATCGCCTCCGTAACTAATGATATTTGAAGAAAAAACGCCACATTTTTAAATAACAAATTAGTAATTATCTAGTTCGGGTTGGGGTTAGAAATGATTTGAAAATTTGAATTTTCAGCGCAGTTTGCATTCTCAACCCCCACCAAACCCTAACCGATTAATTGCTAATTTTTAGCTTTGACGAAGATATTTATTTTTGGCGTGGGCTTTGTACAAAAGATCAAAAATTTTTGCTGTGGTTGTATGTCTTGATATAACACTCACCTGCAATGAACCAAAACAGCAGAATTTCTATCTCTTCTCACACTTGATTGCATTTTCTCTATCAGCTCAAGTACTGCCGTAGCATCATCAGGACATTTGTTCGACGCCCAACCAGTGTATTGGTATTGGATGATTGCCTTAACGAGTATTTCAGGTAGTAATGATTGCTTATACAGGTAAAAAATTTTAATCAGGTTCTGCGGTTTTAATGCAGTTTTCTGAATAAGCATTACGGTATAGACATGTTGACATGTGGCATGTGCTATTATTAAGTGCGTTAAAATTGGATATCAGTTATTAACTGAACTAATATACCTTTTCGTCATCCTCTTTGGTTACACGTAATTCACGTCTGGTGATTTCATTGTCAGTACTGGCAGATTTTAAATGAATGGTAATTTCATTAATCACGAGATCTTTCTCGTTGTCGCTGGGCCAGTAAGGAAAGCATTGTTCCTGTTATTATTTATAAAGTGTTAATTACAACAATCAACGAGTAAATATGATCAATAATGACAACTCATTTTTTGTGTCAAACGATCATAAGGTTTTCTTTTTAATAGTCATCATCAAGCTCAAATTTATTTTCCATCATTAACTATTCCAGAAATTTAGCTTCAACGAAATTTGAAAGTTAATCTATTTAAAATAGATAAGCTAAATTGGGTAATAAAATTGAAGAATATTATTAATATAAATTTTAATATAAATTGTTTATTTTTAGTATAAATAGTAATCAATTTTCTGGTACTCCCAAAGTATGTGAAGAAGATGGCGGACACCGGAACGTAGCTTGTGTACCAGGTTAGGGTGAGACCATAATTTTATTCCAGTTCCCCTTATTTTAATTCTATTACGAGTTCGGGGACTGGATAAGTGACTCCGGTAGTATTTGTACCTGAATTATGGCCTAACTCTTACCTGGTTCACATACTACGTTCCGGTGTCCGCCATCTTGGTTCAAATACTTCGGACGTACCATTTTTCATACTCATAGCTTTCACGGAGATATCACGAACCATAATTTGGCACATGTCATTTTGTTTCGGAAGTATTTAATTTGAATATTCGAGACCTAATTTTGCAACATGAGTTTTTATACTTGTAAACTGTGTCATTAGGGACATTTATCGTCAACAAATACTTGTACGACTTCTAGTTAGATAGTTCTTTTGCATTCTATTCCTTTCCGAAATATTAGTTATGTAATTTTGTTCGTCAAGTCTACAAAGGTTTTTGCAAGTTTCTACCTTTTTATTCTCTTTGCACTCCGTTAGCATCACTATGGTGTTGATATTGTTGTCGAGAATTGCACGCCAGAAGAAACCAATTGTCTGTTTCAGAGGACCTTGTGCAGCAATTAATTTTGTAGCGTTATCGTATGACTGAAAGTAAAAAAGCAATATAAAATTGCAATAGCTATTCTTAATATCAAAATACATCATAAAAATTTGTGTTTTGAACATTAATAGTTGAACCTATTGAAATATTTCTTACTTCCATATTCGATGCATTCAGGCAAGGGGTTTCTGCTTCGGTCGGATTGCGGACTATCACAATGCTCGTTCGTGAAACTGCAAAACATATTGGTTTTTAAAAGATAAAATACTAGCAACGTGGAACATTTTATTGAAAAATTCACTATAACACTTAGATAAGATAACAAATATGCATACCAGTGGTTTTCAAACTTTTTGATTAAGAGAAATCTCAAGGAAAAATTCCGGCAGGCCAAAGAACCGCTATGCATAATAGTTTAATTGTCAGAATTGTATAAACTTTGAATATATATGAAAGCAAACTTAATACTTACGGAACCATATGATAGCACAAAACCCCGTTTAAACACCTTTTATGTATACATAGTCGGATATGAACCGACATTTTAAATGAATACCTTGTCTTAGATACGAGTTTGCGCTGTAAGAACCAAACCGAATTTATAAAATGAATATCACAAATGTTTAAGAACTTTCTATCTCATTATGCTGATATAAAACGATACTGTCTAAAACTTTTCATCAAACGCAAACGCGAATTAAACGAATATAAATTTAGAAGCGCACATCATATGTCCGATTTGATAAATGATCTTACAAGGTATCACTTCTTTATTTCTGTTCATCTCAGGTTGTTTCGCCAATTGCCCTTGTCTTGTCTGATTCACTGGACCAATTTTGGCCAAATCGTTGAACTGTTTTTGTAATATACTAATATCCGAAGTAACTCTGAAATAAATGAAAATTTACGTACAATGCTAGGAATGAGCTAAACAATATATAGTGAATATATAGTTATCAAGATTTGTTACGAATCCGACCTAAAATTGAAGAGACTGTTCGAGTTATAAAAATTTTTACCAATACTGATTTGATTGTACCTTGGTATTACACTTTTTATAATTCAAATTTCTATGATTTCATTTTGTTTCCATTTTCATTAATTCGATCAGCAATTTTTGCAAAAAATAATTACCTGGTTAGAAAGCTATTGAATTTTTCCGATTCCAAATCCGTTTTTCCAAATAAATAATTCTCCAAAATAAGTTTATGCACCACGATATATTGATCCTTAAAAAAGATATATAGTTATATGATAGATGGATCAAAATGTAATGCGATATCGTCTGGGAGCCTTCACAAATCAAAGTATTTAAGCTATCGAAATGTTATAAAGTCTAGCAGCCTCTCAAATTAAAACAGAAAAAACATCGCTGAATTAGAGTTCCCACACTGATTTAATAAGTTGATTTTGAGTCGTTGGTGGGGAAATTTGTAGGTAATAAATAAAGTTTTTGCGTTGTTTATTTCCATTATATATTACGAAAATTCACAGAATTGTATGATGTGGATTATTTAGTATGATACTTAAATTAGCACTTACACATGTTTGCACCATATCTACTCTCTGTCCCCTCAGCTTCAAAATACAATTGTAAACATCAACCGATCGAAGTGATTCACTCTCCTGAAGCAAATAATCTAAAGCTATGAATGCGCCAGTTCTTCCCGCCCCAGCACTGAAATTATAAACGTTACTAATTGAAACTTGATTAAACTACCCAATTACTATTTACAACACGTCGCTAATTAAATTAGAAAACAATATAGTTTTTTCTCAACGGGCATTTTTATTTGAAGGTTCGACCGCTCTGTTTGATTTCTCGGATGCAAAACCTATGCACTCTAGCACATATTTCGGAGTGTTATAATTCGGACAGTAAATGCCAAATCGGAAAGCTTCCAATTATTCCAAAACATAAACCTTACACATCAATAGATATCATTGGTTTTTGCTTGTATGACGTCTTGTTTGAGCGAAATACGCGTTGTATAAAACTTTGGATATTTCACCTGCAATGAACAACTATAGGTGCATTTGATTGGTGTTTTTTGACAATTCCATGAAATCTCATCAAATTTGTTGTTGTAACTGGCACTCCATGGTCAGGCCAATTTAGGTATTGGAGCAGAACTACTTTTATACTCTGTTAAATAAATGAATGAATGAGAATAAACATAATTATCCTATTCTAATTATATTAATTTATTATATTCTGTTCAACGGACCACAAAAAGGTATCAAAACGCTTTGTAAACAAGAAAAAAACTTTCTGTTCCTGAAGGTCTTTCTAGGGGTTAGAATTAAATGATTGCAAATAAACAAAATTTGGTAGATAGAATTGTTATGAACTACACAAATTAAATTTAATATTTGCTCCTTAGAAAGCTCCTTATTTGTTACATTGGATCTAATATATCGTGTTAATCAAAATTTGTCTTTATTATTAGGGCATTACAACACAGCATTAAAGTAATTTAAAATATGTTATTGATTAATCACCTGTTCGTCCTTTTTTGTAATTTTTAATGTAAACATTTTGTAGCAACCCGTGAATATTTCGTCTATATTTTCAACATATACATTTCCAAATTGTTTGGGGGAACCTTGGGGAGGCCAGTATTTCTCACACTTTTTCTGTAATAGCACATTTGATAATAAATGTTATCTTTGTTTCTTTTTTGTTCATTAGGCTTGCACGTAATTAACAAAAATCGATTCCATAATTACGGCAAAATCGATTACGTAATTTCGTAATTGCGATATTTATTTTTTCACACATTCAAACCTATCATAACAACTAATTGAATCCACTTATTTCCCGAACGGGACATCGAAGTTTGGTTTTCATAAAAATTTCGAGATACTTATTTAATCAACGACGGGCGTATTCTCTCGTTTGATCATACTTGCGCTTGCCTCGCGACGAAAACTTGTTGTTGCACCGTTTAGTTAGTTAGCACTATAATAATTATTGATGCCGACTTAATGGCGATATTCCGATTACCATGCTTCATTTTACATCAAATCATTTCGCGGCCTAAATTTTATCCAATTATTTGCCATAAATTTGGATCAAATATATATTAAATATTCGCGCATAATTTGAAAACCGTACTTATATGAAATGCCTTCTCCGAAAACACAACCTTATATCGCAAAACAATGTATTTTGTGACATTTATTTTGCACTCACGAAAAAATTAACCTATTTTTTTCAACTCAAGGCGCCGATCTTATCAGCCAATATTGACACGAGTTTGGTCGGTTGCCGTTGGTATTCGAGTCGACGAAAAATCAGAATAAGTTGCCCCATTTGGTAAAGACATTTACCGTAATCATATTTGTCTGAAAAATTGCGAGGCATTGTGAAAAACATATTGAGCAAGGCCAGACAGATATATAACGATAAAACCGGTAACAGAACATCAAGATATTGTAATAGAAAATAGATCTCGCACAGAATAAACATTGGTTACCAACCGCCGGTCCGCAAAGGATTTTTACCGATTCGCGGGAAATCCCGTCGTTTTGTTGTTTCTCTGCCGTCTCAATCCCTTTACTGATGCCAAAAAGACGAAGTTGCGTTGGTTTATTACGCAATTTCTTTTCCGTTGTCTTAGTCGTTTGATAAGCCCGACATTAATTATCACGGCGACGTATTGGCGTCGACTAATCCAATCGCTCTTTTCGCTTTTTCGGTTCCGATTGGTCGCGAAAGCGCTTCCTTAAATTTCGCTACATCGAGAAACCTAAAAATAGGCAGTCGTGTTGAAGGGTCATGGATATTTTCCTGTTTATACCCCAAGTCGAAATAAAACAGCCAAAAACAGTATGATATTCCATTGTTCATATATCAAGTGTTGATATTAACAATAAAGAATGGTTAAGCATTGCTAATCAACACTTGAATTTGAACTATTTAAATAAGGCAACTATATAAATGGATCAAAATAGAAACGCAAAATATATACCATATGTAACGGCAAACTAGAACAAGTAAATAATACATAAAAGTAAAATAAATACAAATAACGGAAAATAAATATTTGGGAAAAATTGGGAATTGAAAAACATGACGCAAAAAGTTGCTACCAGTCAGCGATAGCCGTCGGTAAATTCTTACCCGTAACTCGTTGTAAATTAATGCTGATAAATTCTATTTTGCTTTTCAATGCGCTGTGATTTGTATTATTAAAAGTGATCGGGTCGGGAAAAGAAAGTCCCCTTCTCTCATTTTGAGAGCCTTTTGGTAAAATTCGTTTCATGTCTGTTTCATGGAAAGAAAGAGAAATACGCCTTCCGGAATTGCAATCAACAATCACATATTCTTATTTATCATTATCAGCGCCGAATAAAAAAGCTACCATATCGTGTTAAAGAAAAAAGTTTGGCGGTGTTAATTGCGTTACGGTGATAATGCACAGAGTAATATAGTTTTGACCGGGAAACCAATATGCCCGATCGTAAAACGACGCTGTTGCTTTTTTGTAGATGAATTTTCACATCAAAAATGTTTCTCAAACGGGGGTGGCAACGCGTCATGCCTTCCCCAACTGCGTAACAAGAGAGAAACAAACGGCTGCAAATATCGGAACTTCAACTTCTGCTACTTATTGAACTATATTTTTTTACAATCGACGGAATTGAATGCTTTGAAGAGAGCTCGTTTCAATCGCGAAAGCGCTCGACCAATAATTACGACTTTACGTAATTCGAACCTTCCCTTCCGTAACTCGAAATAATTCCGTATTTCCGTAAATCCGTAAGTTACGTGCAAGCCTATAATGTTCATGTTACGACTTAATGAATTTAAATATTTCGATGAATTTCGGTGCAGAAGACATTAGTCTCATGGGTTCGAGGCGTGTACTTGCACTCACTTCAAATGGACTGAAAGATATTTTTATCCAATCTTCTCAAATTTGTGAGTCGTTAAATCTGAAGCATGTTTGCTTCGTTTGAATCCACGTAAAAGGACACAGACACGTTTACATGCTCTAACAAGTAGTAATCCTTCTTACCTTTCCATTTTCCATACATTTCGTTAACATGACGATGCAGTTTACTTTATGCTCAACAATCATTCTCCAAAAATCATTTACTGTACTTGGCAACGGTCCTTGTGTAGCAATAAACTTCTTTGCTTTACGGAATCCCTTGAAAACAAATTGAATTAAAACAGTTTTTATGGAAAAAAATTTTGAACTTCACGTTGGAACTTACATTAATGTAGCAAGCGTTAATGTAGCTCATATTTCCTTCTCCGTCAAGCAGCACACGCGATAAATCGGCTGTTGAAGAAAACATTGCAATAAGGAACAATATATTTTAAATTGACAAGACTTCATAATTTATTTCATTTTCCGCTCATATTTATACAATTCTACAATACTAGGTTTCATTCTGCAATACTATATATAGGGTGTCCATAAAGTCTTAAAATCTTCTAAAATTGCAAAGGGAATTTATCGATACCATATATTGCTTTGGCCCTCACTGATGTATTTAAATGGAGTAAAAATACTTCAACAATTACTAATTAAAAAACAACGAATCTGGTTAAGATATTGAAAACTGACTTCATAACAAACTTGAAACAATAGAAAAACTTCATGAACATTTAATCTTAAGTTCAAAATTAAACTCACAAGGTAGAATATTCTTGTATCTGTTTTTGCCCTTCAGTGATTCAGAGGAAGCGACTGTTGTGGGATAATTCAGTCCTTTTGCGTCTGATTTGAGATTCTGTATCAAGTGGGGGCAATTGAAGTTAAGCGTGCAAATAAATATTGCGTTCGGGTCTATCATGTTAAACGTACCTGAAACTCTTCTATAAATTTTGCACCATCTTTTTCATTTAAACGATTGTACCTTTCAAGAAGTTGCTCAAGTGGAATATCGTAAGGTGACCTCGGTTCCATTTTATCCATTGCAATATTTGCGTACAAGGGGTCTTAGAAAATGAAATACATTTGCTATGCAGTTTGAATTAGCCAATTGCAGTATATTAAAGAAATTGCACAAATCGTTTAATTAATTTGTTTGTAAACCCCATGACTAAAAATCTAAGGCCTCAGAACAGCAGAGTACAATTGAATGACGCTCATGAAGCCATAAATCAAAATTACCATCATTCACATTATCTTGTAATTCTTGCATATTCACGTCATCTATGAACATTTTCTTTCGTCCGAGTTTCCTATGCAAAGTGACATAATACACGTCATCAATAACTCTAACAAAGAATCAAAATGGTATGGATTTGCAGGCATGAGATTGTTATATCTATGTAAAACATCTCAATGGATGGGACAACACACATTTTATTCGTCATGTCAACGTGATAACGTCATAGCTACATTTGGTTTTTATTTTTTGTCAGTTTTTATCAACATTTTTTCTGTATATGCCTATTAATGATTAATTTTGCGGCATGATATAGGATGAATATTAATAGCTTTTTTTTTATTTAATAGCAGCGGGCTCGTTCCTAGGATTTTCAAGTTCCATGGGACGCGATAGGCATAAATTTTTATGTGATGGAAGTTTAGTGTCCCGTGACAAGACTCTGGATTTGCATACATTTCCTTTAATGACAAGACGTCAATATTATTTTAAAAATAAGTTGTAGTATCGGGAATTTTTTAATTTCAAATCTTTGACAAAATTGGAAAATTTTGGTTGACTTGGAAACAAATATCACTTACCTTCTATAACAATATATCCCGATAATTACAAACCCAACAATTACAACACAGACGACGATAATAATAATAACAAGCGTCGCTGCAAAAAAAAAATATTGTTATGTTAGAAAGCTTCTTTACGCGAGTAAAATACGAGATATTGAACTTTTTACTTTGGCAAAATGTTAGCAAATTATTTTGTTCAGACTTACGAGACGTAGGTGTAATTTTGGTAAAATAGGAAACTTCACTCGCTTTGACCAGTGTTTTATTCCCATCTCCTGGTGTTGAAGTTACAACGTAGTAGCTGAAATTAATAGTGTTTAGATAACGTCATCCATAGCAAAGCATTCCGATTAAATAAGAATAATAGGAACCTGTACTCAGCTTCGTTTTCCAATTTTAAATTATTTGCCTGTATGTTTCCATCGAAACTAGCTTCTCGTTTCATCCGATTCACTTCGTTTACATGATATATGTTGCAATCGGATGTGCTTTCATCACCCAATGTTCTTGTCATATACACCTTGTTTCCGATTTCGTTTGAAATGTTTGCTCTGTAATGATATATTTTAATTAGCCTTATGGAGTTTAAGACAGTGATATGTTCGATCGATTTTTTAATATTGAATGGGCGAAAATGATTGTTTTTGAATACGTTTAGATACGTAAATTTGGTTGAAAATAATTAAAAATATTACCTAGCATCAAATTTTTTTATATTATATTAGTATGTATTTTTAAAAAATTGAAAGAAAAAGTTTGATTGTTTTGTATGTAGGCTATGTGCATTTACACTAAAATAATGTCAGGGGTGTCATGATTATAAAAGATAGCTGGAGACTCGTAAATCAAATAAAGGAAGGGAAGAATTGTAAAATTACCTGGAAATCGCGAGAGCGATGAAAGCTTCATTAGTCTTCAAAGTTTTGCCCTTTATATTTCGTAGATCTTGTGCGCTTTCAAATGTCATCGAAGTCGATTTTTCAGGTTTGAATACGACAATAACAAATATGCAACTGTGAAATTTTTACATATGCGGTAAATTGATTGAATCAATTTAAAATAAATGAAAGTAGGCTAATAGCTTTCTGGCGACTACACCAATCTTTAATCACTTAACACACTCTTTAATCACACCAACCTTTTTTCACCGAAAATTTTAAAGCAATTGGTAGTGTAGTTGAGAAGAAAAGCGTTTTGTTTTATAAGAGCAACAATAAGAATAGGTCCCCTCCGTGGCAAATAAAAATCTAAAGCGAGTTATTTTTCAACAAAGACTTAAAATAACCTGATAGGTCCATTACTTTCGTCCGGTAAATTGATCCTAATTGAAACCGTTCCATCACCGTCTGAATCAGTGGCCACAATCGGAGAAGGAACTATAGCTGGTGCTAAAATACAACGACTGTTAGACCAGTTTTACATATAGTCCTTTACTTTAAATAGGTGCCACTTTGCCAAGCAAATTTAATTTCCCATTAATGAGGTTGTAATCCGGTATTTATTGTACTGAAGCATTGTCACAATCTATATTCTAGAATATAATATTTGATCCAATAGTCTTGCTGCACTCTAATACAAATATAATTCTATAACGTTTCGTCTGCCCTTGGTTATCTTATCGGATCGTTATCTTTACTTTTGCTACAGCACCCTTGCATAATATGCAGATACGGATCCGTCGGCACAAAAGCATAGAAGACGTGCAGTAGTTAGTCCCGCAAAAATCAAATCATTTGGGTAGATTATATATTAAATTGCTTAAACCTGCTCTCTCTGTCTTGCAATTTTCGACAGCAAATATACCCGGTCCAGTACCAGCACATGTCCGAGCAGAAATACTGAATGTGTAGTTTCGATTAAATGACATGTTGGAAAAAATGAAATATCTTTCTTCCGTTGAAATATTCTTATCTAGAACAGTTTGTTTCGGTGTAGATTTTGTAGATGCTACGTAGACAAAGGATGATATTCCTTTCACCTGTTTAACAAGGTAAAATTGGTTTTTAGAATTTAATTAATTACGTAACCGAAAATCGACGATAGGAAGTAATTATATCTTGAAAGTGTTATTTTATTTAAAAGTTCATAATGCCAATGACTTAATAGGGAGAATATCATTCATATTGGACAACTGAAAGTTACGTTTAAACTTTTAGAATAAAATGTTATGAATTTGTTTTTAATTAAACAAAAGCCTGTCGTTTTCGTATCACAAACATACATAAAATTCCGTAATGCCATGTGTGTTGTCCATCTCCCATTGAATAAGGCAAGTGTTGTTTTCTTTTACGTGTGTCATATTGAAAGCTTTTACAGGACCTGGTATTGTTGCATCCGTAGTTATTGTCGTCGTAGTAATGTGCTGATATTTGCACAATTCAGGACACACAATAACCTGAAAACCAAAAAAAACGTACATGGGAAAATGGCGATTTGTTGTTATTGATTCAAATTGTTAGTAATGAAAGTCTCGTGTTTTTCGGATTTTCTGATGCACTTCAAAATTTATTGTTTTTAATTTATATTTTTTTGTAAACATTTCACCCTATAATAATGTGGTACCTCTTAATTCATGCTGCTATTTTTATAATTCTAGAAAATGGTTTATTTTTATACAAAGAGCTCAAAGTTGCGCTGCTGATATCCTAGAACCCAATGTCACGTATCCTACATCGATCAATCTTTTCTTGGAATCTATTCTTATATTATATATATTTTATGTTACTCACCTTCACGTTGTAAGTTGTTGAGAAATTCAACCCCACAAACATATTGTTTATTACGTTCTGTCGTAGAGGCGTAATGTCGGTATTGTTAATTACCTTCTTTTCCATCGAGGATACACGTTCGATTTGAAGCCTGTATTACATGCAAATGAAGTAAAAATATTTCACAAACCAAAATGTTTAGTATTGAATTTTTTGTAAAAACTGTCATTTAAAATCAATATCAATCGCATGGTAAACAGAAAATTCCTAATACGCATTGCTACTAACTACTAAAAAAGTATTCCTTGGAGTTTTATAAAAAAAAAATAGGCAATGACTGGAACAAATTCACCATAAATTCGCCATTCACGATATAATCAAATTTTAAAATAGTTTATACTATCGTAATAGAATTTTCATTTTAAAATCAAAACACACAAACCTGTGTCTCACTCCCAATGCATTGTTCGACGGAGTCCATTGGACAGTGATATTCGAAGAGCATTTTGCCAAATCTACATGAAAGTCAAGAGGAATCCCCTCCACTATAGACAAATACAGTTATCAAATTATCATATGAAATTAAGTTAAATACCATTGTATTTTAAATCTACAGTTAGGATACCAAGATTTCTCCATCTTAAAGGATGATGGAATGGGTGAAATTGTAACTATTAAAGTGCTTTGCAATCGTACAATTTCAGGGTCAATTGATCATTTTCGAAATTCATCGAACGGATGTATGTGCAACTGGATGCTGTATGGGTTTCATTTTTTCGGGTCTTCCCGTACATATTTGATTATTGTTGTGTATACACATGAATATGTACCTATTTAAACCTCAATTTTATATTAGTTATTCAAAACTTATTATCTCACATTGTCCCCCACAAATAAATCCTCTTGTTTTTGCACAGTCTACGTCAGCCCATCGCCATTGGAAAGTTGTTTTCATTACTAAACAATTCATATTCGTCAACCGTCTATCATTTTCCCACGCAACATACGCTCCATCTACAATATTACCATATTCAGACTTCCATCTGAATTGAAGGTATGGATAAAATAATTCATACAGTTTCAAGCCTCAATGTCAAATGCAAAGTTGAGATGCAAGTACGTGTAACTTATGAGGGCAATAGTTCTGTGAAAATATTAAAAACAACTTCATGTTGGAAACTTCAATATTTTAAATTTGCGCACATTTCCTATTTTGTATTGTCATCAGAGGAATACTCACGGTCCGTATTTTGTTTCATTGTACAGCACAGACCCATTATTCCATCTCCAAACCTTTTGACTACCTGTTGTGTTTCTTTGTGCTCCAAGATACACTGAACAATATTACAGTAACAATGGTTAAAAACTGATAAAGAATCGCATTAAAAATGCAATTAAAAGTGGAACTGGCTCATTGTAAAACACTTCTAAATTTTTGTAATCTATTCACGCAATAGTATAAATTTCATCTATGTTTGAATCTTCCTGTGAGTACTTGAAGTATATACTATAAAATTAAATAAAATATTCACTCACAATAAGTTGTGATCCCGAGATTGTTAGCTTTTGTTTCAAGTAGTTCTTGAGTCAGATTGTTCGATATAATTGCGAGTGTTTTACCTATGGAGTGGCAGTACCGTTGTGCGTCAGTATAATTTCTTTTGTCTGGCTCTGATTTGCCGTAAAGATGGAACGATGAAATTGAATTCAAGGCCACATCTAAATGGAATAATACATTTAGGTAAATAGTTTATATTTTTTACAATTAATTTGATCTGGTTTTTAGTTACTTACTTTTGTTCAGTTCAAACAATTTTTCATTATCGGTATATTCTTCATATTCATTTTTTGCCGAGCAGGAAAAATTTGTTGCGCCAAGATATTCGACTAATGTTATGTTAAGCTGACTTGTGCTCTTTTGCAAAGGATTCAGGGTGTCATTCATAGTGCTTTCTTTAAACATTGCTATGTTCTCATTTGGAATTATTTTCACATTCCCTGGAAGATGCCACTTCCAAGTAATATGAGGCGGCGGATATCCTTCAAATGTACAAGTCAAAGAAGCAACTCCGTATGATGTTTTTGTAACCGTCGACTGAACCAGTGAAATTTTACCTAGAAAAAAATGAAAATCGCAAAAAAAATAACTCAAAATGCTTCAAAATTTCACTACTAGCTTTCGTTGTAAACAGTTCAAATAAATGCGTCTTCAAAAAATTCAATACTGTTCACGGCGACGAAATTCAAAATTTAGGTCTAAATATTTTGCCGTAAATGCAAAATGTATAAGAATATAGGATTGGTAATTGGTATATTCTTATATTAATGAAATATTGTTGACATTGACTTCCTCTACACAGCATGCTCTTATCCAATTTAATGACTA